CCCGGCAGGGCCAAAGAAGCGCTGCTTCCACCAAGCCCCTGCTTCCAAACTCCCCCCCCCAGCCGACGACATCCTTTCAGGGTCGCCCGCTGGGTCCTCCCGCTGCACTGGGTGGTGGGGGGCTGGTCAAATTAGGATGGTATAAATTGCGTTACAAACCTTGTAAGGTGGAAGGTGAGGAATTGTTTCCAGTCTGTGAACCCCCCCCCTTTCCTTGTCGAGAACGGCTGGCCTAGAAGCAGCGTCTCTCTTCTCTGGGTGAGGGAAACATCTCGGTCTTTGGTCCCAAGTCCCAAGGCTGAGTCCCTATTAAAAACAAACTTTTCCCCCACCAGAAAAAGGAAGGGGGGGCGGGGCGGGTGTGTTCGGAGTTGCGATTTGAGTGTCGGAGTCCTTGAGAAAGAAAAAAAGCCTGAGTTGCGTCCAAGTCGAGTCACTGGTGCGACCGGCCTGGACCTTGACAAGAGACTCCTGCGATTGGAGTTCCCGTCTGGGAAACATCAGCCCTGCAGGGAAGGTCGATGTGTGTCAACCGCCGGCACCGCCTTAGAGCAGAGAGCAGGAGCGGCACCTGAAGCCCTCTCTGATGGAGGCCAGGGAAGAAAGGGTTGCAGTTCAGCCTCGAGACTAAAACGGTGACTATGGAAGAAGCGCGGCACTTTAATGCCTGTCACGAAGAAATGGAAACAGTCCGGAGACTTCGTACCTCGTGGTCCAATCCTCAATGCAAACAGACTTCAGGCACGCAATAAATCAGAAAAGGGCCGAGATTCGGAAGGGCAGCGGTGAAGGAACTACCAAGGATCCTCAAGTGTCTGGATGAGGAGTCACAGGAGACCATGGCTAAAATCTCGCCCTGCCCCCCCCTCCCACATCCTGAAACAACAGGTTGACCAGGACAGAAGGTCAGAGTTGGATGAGGAAGGAGACCATGGCTAAAATCTCGCCCTGCCCCCCCTCCCTCCCACATCCTGAAACGACAGGTTGACCAGGACAGAAGGTCAGAGTTTTTGACCTCCCTTTCGCTGCTGCTCGCCTCTGATATGTCCCCCGAAGGACCTCCCCGAAGCCACTGGCATCGGCCTGGAAGGGGACAGGAGCCCCTCCGGGGTGGACCTCTTCTGCCTGGTGCTGAGGGGTTCTTGCAGAGGGTCAGGGGCTTTCCTCTGTGAGCAAAGGCCTGGGGAAGGGGTGTCGTCGAGGGGGGGACGGGCCATCCGTCCTGGAGCCGTTTCAGGGCAGAGCTACAGGTGGAAGCAAAGGTGTGTTTGCTTTCCTTTCAAAGCTAGGGTGTTCATCTAAGCTGTCCCCCCGCCCCCAAAGGTTGCTGTAACTGTTTTGCTAACCCTCACAGGGTCGGCCTCTTGCATTTCATTTTCACCTAAGCTCATTGCAAACCTGTGTTTTCTTTCTATATCTGCATTTGCATTTTCTCTCCCTCTGTGGCTGCACAATCTGATGGGGGGGGGGAAGACTCTCTTCGTCCAGTAGGCACACGAGGAAGTGGACTGTGTCTGACACACAGAAAGAATTGCGACATTGCCTCCCCCCCCCCCCAAATGGCTGCTGTACAACCCCTCTCTTTCCCTCTCCCTCCCTGGCCCAAGTCTTCTGAGGGGTTCAGCAACCATTACCAAAAGAGTCTCCTCCACCCACCTGTCAATACTTCAGCAGTCTGCTATTATTTCATCCACTTTATTAGAACACTTCAATGTATGAAAAACAGGGCGCAACTAAACAAAATCAGGAATGGTTGAAACTAGCTAATGAAAGCGGCAACCCTACTCTAACAATACGGGAAGCCTCTGGTACAGAAGCTTATCCTGTAAGCATTTCGGTCCCGAGCTGCCCTCTGACTGGGGAGGCTCCCCCAGTAACTCCTGCACATGAAAATGAGTCACGCCTCATTTCATTCCATTTCCAGAAATCCGACCAGCATCCTTTTATCACTCTTCTGTGCTGAAGTTTCACAGTTTTGCTCTTCTCAGCTGGAAATCTATGCACAGTTGTGTACGTACTTTTAAAAACACACATACCAATTTGAGCATACAGTATTTTCTCACTGGAACATTCCACAAGTCACAGTAGTGGAGAGATTTCAATGGTACAATGCATGGAACTGCACTGCCAGCTTCTAGAGGTGCAGAAAGGATATTTCTGTAGGGAAATATGGAGGCAATGTATTTTTTTTCCATCCTAAATACCACCTGGTTGTGACAAGGAGATGCACATTTGGGCTCCAGGGCTCCCCCCAGCCTCCATGAACAGAAATGTGGCAAAAAAAGCAAAGCACAGGGACAGAGCAGAAGTAGGGGAATGACTGAGAGAGTAGGATTGCGCCCCCACCCCATCCCAAGTAAATGGCCAGAAAAACAAACAGCACCCATGAGTCTCCCTTGGCATTGCATCTCCTAGTGTGATGCTTTCCTTCTCCTTCCCACAGCTAGCCTGCTAGATGTCCCCCCAACAGGCTTCCACCTCTGACTTTCTTGCTTAGTTGGAATGTCACAAATTTCCAAAATGCTGCCACAAAAGAGCACTTCGGGCTTGCAAGGGTGTCAAACTGGTCCTGACAGCTCCATGCCTGCTTGGCGACGAAGAGAAAGAAGAAGTGGCGGGAGAAGTAGGAACAGGCGAGGCTCTGCGTGTTCCGGCGCCCAGAAGCCAAACGCCTTCCACAGCAGTTCCTGCTGCCCCCCCCCGCCCGCCCGGCTCCTCCTAGTCTTGCAGGCAGCATTGGAGGAAAGAGGCTGCAATTTGGGCCCTTCCTCAAAAAGCCCTCCGATCTGCACGACACACAGTCAGCACAACCTTGCGCTGGCAGGCCCAGAAGGTCTCAGGAAGAACACTGGGGGACAGGCCAGCCCTTCCTTCTTATTCCATGCTCAGCGACCACACCGTTTGGTCCTTTTTTTCTTTTTCTTTATTCAAACAAAAAAAGGTGACATTGTGGTCAAAATCCAACTGCTTTGCTGTGCCTGCAGATGGCAAATGGTGCCTCATGCGGTCACTTCTAACGGCCCATTAATGAACCCTTACTAGGAATCTGAAAACTGCTAGGATGTCTGCCCATCCTCCAAGAATCTCAGCAGTGAGCTGTTAATTTTTCAGTGGATGCAACTGAATGTTACACCCTTTTCAGCCAAAACCTTGAAAGCCCTCCTTTTCCCCCTGCATGGTGCCTCATGTCGATGGCTTCTTTTCTCTAAAAGTATACAGGGAAAGTTACAACAGGATTGACAGGAGAGAAAGTTACAGAACACAAGGAGGTCTCAGGAAAGGGACACAGCAGGGAAACACATCTTGTCAGCAAAGACCATTTACATCAGGATTTCAAGTCACTATACAAAATTCAGCATACAGTCAATATTATATTTTGACCAGAGCAGGGAGATCCTACGATGACGGGAGAGGTTCAAAGTTCATTGTGTTGAAAGCCTCTAGAAATTCTACCGGACAAGTCTTGCAGGTGTTTTTTAACCTGAAAAGATATTTAGAGAGTGTTTAGGCTTGGCTTCTCAAGACCAAAAGGCAAGTCAAGATGGCAAGACAAAAATATGATGACCACAGCCTATCTCTAGGTTCTCGTACCTGGGGGGGGGGAGGGGGGGAAAAGTCCTGCATGAAGAAGGAAGCCAGTTCTCACACACCACGAGAGGCCGTTCCACTCGCTGCCGACGCCTGCCCTCCAGCTCCCCTAAAGGCAGGGAGGCCAATCTGCCTCTCTCTTCAGTGGAAGGTCTCAGGGGACGGGTGTCCCTAAACATAATGATGGGTCGTCCCCCCCAGCTTTGACAGACATGTTACAGCAGAACCAGAACCACTGCAAACTACAGATACATTTTCAACTAAAGGAAAGAGAAGGGGTGTTCCTTGACTGCTCAATTGCCTGAGGATTATGTGGAAAGAAGGGCAGGACTCCTGCATAAGCTCCCCAAGGGGAGTGTAGGTTTCAATTGCCTGGCTCTGAAATAACAAATGGTGTAGATAATCAATGAGACAAAGGAGCTTTACATTAATAATGTAGTTTCACATCTTGGTGTCTCTTCTGTTATCTTTAAACAACAAATACTGAATTGTTGTGATGTCTAAGGAGATATTCTATACCAACCACAGAGGTCTGAAATCTTGATGCCGATATTTGCTTTTGAAATATGTCTTACTCTAGAATTTCTGCCGAGTGCTATGGGTTCTCTAAAGCCCAGCACGTTAGTTAGTGAGGAAGAAAGACTTATGGCAGCTAGTAGAGTTGCCATGTAGTGCCATGCCACTACATGGCAAACATTTATACCTTTATACATGCCCCCAAATCAGAGACTGTATTTGGGCACAAGCTGTTGACCTGGCAAGAACCTTTAAGACTCCTATTGTTATCTAGCTCCAGGGAGGATGGTTCTGTGAAGCATGAGAATGACACGGTGATAAATATACACACATGTTTTAAACTCATCTCAGTGGACTCAATATAAGCCAAGGTTTCTTAGGCCATTATAAAATGAAAGATCTTGTGTTGTACCTGCTGAAATTCCCAGCTATATTTCCTTTTTATCTACCAGTGCCACTTCCCAAGGCCCACTGGTACTCTATTCTTCCTGTTCCTCATCTATAGCCCGGGATTGTCATTGTTTACAGAAGAGTGTTTCCTGGGAGGGGAACTGAGCAGCAACAAGTTTTAAAGGTTACTGCCAGGTCAACAACTTGTGCCCAAATACAGTCTCTGATTTGGGGCCACCATGTATAAAGGTATAAATATTTGCCCTATAGTCCCACCCTTATGTCTTAGAAAGTGGATTGTCCACAAAAGCTCACCTTAAAATATAGTAGTTAATTTTTACATGCAACAACATTTCTGTCTTCTTTATTTTTATTTTGTTTCTGCCTGAGATGTGAGCACAGACTAACATGACTACCTCTTTCTAGCAGTAATGGAGTCGGGTTTTCTTCCCCCACATCTGTTTCCAGGTGTGAAGTTTGGTGATCGCCAAATGCTCTTACAAGAATGGTCCCAGTTAAAAAAAGCAGAAAGCAAGGAAATAATTAACACTTTCAGAGCACTGCTTAACTGGCGGAGCGGGGGGGGGGGGGGGA